CATTGAAATCAAGACTTGAAAGCGTATTTAGCGAAAGCGTTAAGCCCATTTAAATCGCAAGTGCAATGCAGTGAAACTATACTTAAGAAACATTACACTGTTTCAACTTAAGACACGTGAAATTAACGTCGATCAAACAAGCCATTGAAGTTCACCTCAGTGTTTTTTTGACGTTTGACGCATTTACTGACAGGTGCAAAATCAGGATGGCAAGTAATTTCCATTTTGAAATTCCTGGTTTTTTCCTGGTCAATGATTTAAAAAATTCCTGGTTTTAAGGACCATGTATTTAAAAAACAATTTTTAATAAAAAAAAAATATAGTGAATTCTTGTACCATCTAGAGTCGGTGTATAATGAGTCACGCCAAGAGTGAAGCCAAGTCTATCTATTGAATTGTCAAACCGGCTACCTATCGTGCAAAGTAAACAAGCATTACGATGCTATGAAAGGTCAACGAAAGGTATTGCAATTAAATATAAAATATAATCGAAGAAATGATCATAAACACGCAGTGAGCATTACATTTGTCATGCGATACGTTTTGTAATGGTCAGTAATGAGAATTTCTACTATTTTTCGTTAAGGTAAATTGACAAAATCACTAATTTAATGATGTACTACAGTCTTTACTTTTTTTCCTCGCTAGAAGTCATTTAAAGTTGATGCAGAAGTCCTCTGTTGCCAAGTGAAAAAAAGGGAATCTTTAGAAAACCGTGATGCGAGTTCAACTGTTTTTCTCTTGGCGTGACTCATTATACACCGACTCTAGTACCAGCATTCTTCGCGCAATGCGGAATTTCACAAACCAAAATAGGTATTAAGGTTCTTGTGAATGCCCGTGAAATCTTTATCTGATTGTTTGCTGTAAAGAAGCTAGTAGGGGGTCGCGCTACTTCGTCGTAATATGGCGCCTATTTCCGTACTATGTCTTCTTCTTCTTATTCGCATTTCAAGCTTATTGCTTAGCACATATTAGCTTATTGCGTGCTCTCAACTTAGTGTTCTAAATGCACTTCCACAGCTATTAATTGAGAGCTTTCGATGCCAATACCAATGCATGAATTTGTATATTGTGTGGCAAGCACAATGATACTCTATGCCCAGGGAAGTCGAGAAAATTTCCAACCCGAAAGATTCCCTCGACCGGACCGGGAATCGAACCCACCGCCTTCGGCTTGGTAATACCGTGCCTTTACTGACTAGGCTATAAGGCCCCACACTATGTGATAAAACTATAATAGCAAAGCGTTTTCACTCATGTTTTTGCAAAAATATCTTTGCTCACAAGATTAACTGCGATTGACACTGAAACATTTGCGATAACCCGTAAAATGAGCGATTTTAGGGGTGTCTGACGAAGAAAAGCTAAGATACGACGGACTAGCGCGGAGCCCTATCTAATGTCTGAAATTTAGAGATCTATATGCCCCTAAATCTTGAAATTTCTGTTTTTGGAACTGTGATTTTTTTAACTTTATTATTGAGACTTTTTGAGTTTATCTCAAGGTGAAATTTCGAAGTGTGATATGAATGAGGACTCTTTAAATAAACCTTTGCTTCTAACAATTTTAAGGATTTCCAGTTTGTTTAAATTTTCCGCAAATTGTCTACTATTAAGGATCTTATTTAGCGGAATTTTGATTACAACATGATTTCAAAATCATATCATTAAAAGATTTCATAAACAACGCCTAAAGTTCGTAGAACTTCCCTGAAGCGTTAAGGTCTTTCTTGAAGGGTTCATTGAAGTTTGTATTGCCTGAATTTCATGGGACTTCCCCGAAGTTCGAAGGACTTTTTTTTTAAGAACTTAGGACTTCCCTAAAGTTCGGAGTTTTTTTGAAATTCATGGGAATTTCTTAAATATCATAGAAGTACCACAAGGTTCATAGAAACTCTCAGAAGTTCGCAAGACTTCCTTCAAGTTCGAAGAACTTTCTCGAAGATCTGAGGACTTCCCTGAAGTTTGAAGGACTTAACTGAATACATGAGAACCCTAAATTTTCCTGAAACTTGTAAGACTTTCCCGAATTTTGTAGAACTTGCATGAAGTTCGATGGCCTTCTCTGAAGTTTTTAGAAATAGAACTTTTTTATTGAACATGTTGAACAGGTACTTCAAAGTAGTTACGCGTCGGCACTGCTTAAGTCTGCTATCAATTAAGCACAAATCATACATGCAATTGATTCGAGAAAAAATTTAATTAAAAATAAATCCAATATATATTTACTAAACTCTCAGGGTAAATTTTGTTCATCAATGTTTAGTTGTGTGAAAGATTTAGCTTGAACAAAATGGTTAGTTTTGACCTGATTATAAAAAGAAACTTTGACATACATAAAATTTAAAACCTTTTTAAATTATACAAACAAGATTATTTTCCTGGTGGACTTAGGAAATTCCTGGTTTTTTCCCGGTGAAAATAAATTCCCGACTTTTTCCTGGTTTTCCTGGTTCACTTGCCACCCTGTCAAATGCACTCAAAGGATTGATTTTTGTTGAACACAGCTGGATCGAACATATACATCAATTTACTCAAAGGTTAAATTTTGCCAGATACAACTAAGCGCAACATATATTACGAGAGGCACACTCATTTCGAGATAACATTTTGCAACAACTAACACCGTCTAGCGACTACAAAAATGGGGTTTTTATCAACCCTCAAGGCCCAAAAACAATGTGGACGGAAGCGAAACGGAAATGGAAAGTTTGACAGTTGTCACAAATGACTTCAAGATGCCTGACCGAAGTCGATTTGGTTCCAACAAGTTTTCAATCCGACAAGTTGGCTTACTCAGATCGAGCTTTTCCACTGTCAGTTGAACTCAGGAATGTTCCAACACCCAATGGGAGCTGAATTTATGTTAGACCCAAAATCATCGAAAAATCCTTTTATTTAAATTTTGAAAAATTTGAAATGAGCAACCATCTTCATACTCCACCGAGTTATTGTTTAAAACTTGCGATATAAATCATACTCATTAATAAGTTTCTGAAGAAAGATTTCCCTGAATTTGAATGAAATTCCCTGAGATTCCCTGATTTTCCAGACTAAAAATGAATTCTCTAATATTCCCTAATTTTCCAGTTTTTTTTTCTTCAGGTAGTTGACACCCTAAATTATTATGCAATTAACCTCAGAAATGTCCTAAATTTCTGCTCAGAATAATGCTCCATTAAAATACAGCCATCAAATTTCGTCAAAACTCGTTCGTATAGTAATCGTGCTCGCTTTTTGGTCACTAAATTTTGTTTCAGGGAGCGATTTGGATGTTTACTGGCAAAAAAAGACTTATATCCTTCTCTTGAAAGGATGTTACGCACGGTGGAAAAGTTGGAATCGTATTTCTTTGCCAAATCCCGTATGGAGACACCTGGGTTGCTTTTCACGTACCTCAACGCCTTTCTCCTCAGCTCTTTGTCCCTAGTGCCACTTTTATGATAGATGCACTGTGCTCTATCCACACTCAGAGTATCCTTGTAACGTTTGATTACAATACTCACCGTTGACTTTGGGAATTTTAACACTTTTGCTATTTTTGAGACAGACCACGAAGGGTTCTCTAGATGCGTCGATCAATCGAGAAAAACTTTTCACCAATTTCTTCGTCAATGAAACATCAACAAATGGCTGTCAAACGTTTTTTTGTTCCAGGGGCGCGGTGGTGTATTAAACCGTGCGTCCAGATTTACTTTCAATCGAGCTTAAGTATGGGCATCTTGAAAAACAAATGATGAATGCTTTGTGTACAACACAATAAGATTGTCGATCGTGGACTTCGATGATTTCAAGAAAGTTTTTGGAAAAGTTAACATACACAGTAAAGATTCCATTATATTCAACCAAATGCATCCACGGCAGTATTTACAGAAGGACGATACGACAACGGATCTTCTGAATCAGTCAACAGGAACATTATTTTAACTACAAAATATGGTAGCAGCTATCAACTTGATGAATGAACACACCATGTGACAGAAATACCATAATTGTTAACTTCGTAGCTCCTAGTTGTTTTTAGACAATTATACGTACTTTTTTAATAATGCCAATATTGGAAGATGTGTATACATCGTTGCTACATAAAATTGCATTTCAAATCATGTTATTTTGTCTTTGGTTAATTTCAAGATCATTACACTGCTTCTTATCAATTGAATATAATATCTTTAATAATGCACAGTTTGAAAACTGAACTATAATCTGGTGTTTTTTTAAATATGAATTCCCGTTTCTCTTAATATTTTACATCATAAAATAAAGCTTCTACTTCCTGAAATGACTCATTGAGTTTCTTTTGATCATATAAATCCTGTTTCGATCATTCGTGCACTCAAATCGATTCGTCAATAAAAGATTCAGTAAAAAATTCTTTGTGGGACAGTTATGCGTAGAATTTCAACATGGGACAGTTAGATTTGATGTTGTTTTCAAATAAGCCCAAAACAAATAATATGTTTTTCTATTTTCATTCGAAAGTTTACCTAAAAAAGTACTGTTTTATGAACAAAAGTGAAAAACGTCCAAAAGTGACATGGGACAGATATGCGTAGAACGGCAGTACAGAGCTTACGGGATTCACAATTCAATACTGATTCAATCGGATTACTACGAGGATGTATCTTTTGCCTCGTTAATACGTACTCACATCACAGCATTTTTCTCCAAAATTATCTTGAAACAATACACAAGAACCAGTGTTCAACCTGCCAACATAGGCTAGTCCTTCTGTATTATAGTCAAAAGATAGAAGCAAAATTTACTGAAATTTTGAAAACTAAGGTGTCACGCAGCTCCAGCTTGATACCATACAAAATAATAATAATAATAAACTGTATTCTTTTAAATAACAGACATTCCACTTGGCTTTGTAAGTATCTCTTTCATAAATTTCCTTCCTCATCCCAACCTTTATCTAACAAATTCAAGTTCCCAAAAAATCCCCCTTCCATGTAGTGGTGAGACCAATATCCCAATGTTTGTGTTTACTGCACCTTATTAGCTATTCCGGTGGGGCTCTTGCCGCTCTCCGATGACGACGCAGAACCTGACTGGTTGGGTGGCTTTTGCTGTCTTCTGTTGCTTCCTCCGCTTTCTCTCTCTCTCTGACTCTCCTTTTTGGTGTCTGCTTCTTGCTTCTACCACACTACTTCTTTACTATACTTTTACACACCTCTTCAATGACGGTGCATCGGTGTCACTATTATTTTCCGCACTTCTTCTTAAATCGCTCACAAACACTCGCACACACTATACTTCGTAGAAAATGATGATTATGAGGCGCTACGCTACGGGAAAAGCATACGCGCAGTTTTCCAAATATTACTGTAGTAATAAAACTTCTTCCAATTGGATTCTCCGGGAAACTTTCTTCTAACGAAAATAAAGCAAAAACACTACCTGTAAAGCAATCACATTATTGTTTTGTTAAAAACAACCGAATTTCCCCACCATTCGGTGCCACTGCACCGAAGCCATTCAAGAAAGAAATTGGGAGGCTCAATCATTTCCCATTGTTGCTTGACGTTGCTTTGTTGTGATTTTCTCAACCAAGCCACAGCAACCAAAATAAAACGAACGGAACACTGAACGAAAAAAAAATCAAAACAAAACTTCCACCTCACGCACCTTGGCCGAGAGGAAAAATAATTCTCTTTTGCTGCGAATTAAAAAAAAACTAAAATCCCCAAAAGAGACACACGATTGTAACGAAACCCACTTTTTATTTTATTTTTTTGGTTGCGTTTTACTGTTTCCCCTCTTTGCTTCTCACACGGGCATATTATTTTGAGGCCGAGCGTCGCGAACCGCGAATTATCAGCTTTTCTTCTTTTTCTTCCCCTGAAAATTCGATTGATGACTGTCTCGCCTTCAGTGCAGCGTCTATCCTACTAGCCCGGAAAAAAAAATTACACAAAGGCACCAAGGTTTTGCGTTTTTCTCAGCATCTGACACGCACTTTTCACGCAGGATTTTCCCGAATTCACACAAATTTGTCGTTGTTTTGAGCCATCCGTCGTTGTCGTCGTCGCTTCTTGGATCACTTTCACGCGATTCACACACCCTGCCTCCAAACACACGACACCAGATAGAGCGAGACGGCAAAAAAAAAATGCTACAACCGATTCTCCTCCTCCTCCGCCCGCTCCCGCTGTATCCAGTGTTGAGGAAACAAGAAGACAAACCATACACACTAGAAACACTTTTGATAGAAGAACAAACCGCCGGGCGGGATTGCACACACGAATAACCGCTACGAAACACGTCCACTTTACTCAACGTTCGCGATGCGATTAAAAATAAAAACCGTTGCCTTTCGCTTCGCCGTTCGTCCGTCGCTCGCTGTTCGTTCTTTTGATGGTGTGGGGTAACGGATTCGCGATTCGCGAGGCCAAGTTGCACAAATGAGAATGAACGAGATGAAAAGTATCGCCGAAGATCATTTGCTGGAGCGAGCTGGAGGATGTTGAAATGAAGGATGACGTCACCCTTTCGTTTATGCAAAACAGTGATGCCGCATTGAACAATTTATCTACGATAAAAGTTTTTTTTCAGGAAAATTTTCGACGATGAAGTCTGTTAGTATAAGCACTGATTTTTGAGGTACACAACCCTAATAAACAAATACCATAAACGAACGATAAACCCAAATAATCGAACGCACGAACACGTCGTTAAGATAAATAACCATACAATTTTTATTTGGGAATTTTGAACAGCATGTGGGGAAAAATTGATTCACTTGTTTTAAAGGCTTAAACTGAAGATTGAAGATTATTAAAACTCAAAATTAACCACTTCATTCGGGCAGTTAGAATCTCGTTTAAAATGACGTTTACTACCACTCAAACTTGAAATAAAACATCATTTTGATATTTTTTCTTCTAGAACCACGAGAAAAGTAGCCAACATTTGTGCGTTTCATAAAAAATAGAAATTAGTTGGTCCAGTTTTGTGGAATCGCTGGTAGAAAGTCTCACCAAAACTGCTTGACGCAAAGTTCAGATGGAAATATGGAAAATATGGCATCACTGATACCTGTCACGTTCGATTTGAGTGTAGGGGTTCGTTAACGGATTTTTTTTGACACGAAAGAAACGAAAGTTCTCCGCTGCGAAGCTTTTGGATAGATGATTCAAAATTGTTAACGGAAAGGGTTCCGAGGGGTTCGTCGAAGTCCATGAAGCTTTCTAGACGAAGATTTCAAAAGATCCTATCTGCTTTGATCGATTCCCTTCATCGACTTTCTCTATTGATATTGTGTTGAGAAATTACAGTATAAGCTCTACGCAGATGTCGCCACTGCATGATGATGATAATGTCGACAGACTGCATAGAAAAGTCATGAAAATGAGCATTAAAACACAATTTTCATCAAATCTGCAAAACATCCATGCAATACAATTGTGTAGGAAAACGTAATTGCAATCAGACTCCTGTGCATCTTCGACTTTTCCAGTTGGATTTTTATACGAAACCTTTATTTCATTTCATGACCCCGTTAACAAAAGATGTAAACAAGAGTAAATTTCATAAATTGATCGAAATAAAGATGATTTTCCACTATGGTATCACCATACAACCAACAATCAATACGAAACTAACGATTTAAAATTGGCTCACCACTTTAGTAGCCTATTGGTCCCAAGCAAACGATTAACTTACCCTATTCTAGTTGAAATTCTATTACTACACTATGTTTGTTTTGATTCGCTATGAAAGTTTGACAGATAACATCAGGGGTGTGTGGATTCATGCAGAACATGCAGGGGTGAGTGAAATAGCTTGGGACTGCTTGGGACCGTTGTTCTGGTACTGAGTGAGCCAAAAATAATAATGATTTTCTTCGGGACCCAGTGGTCTTAGAGTTACCTCTATGATACAACCAACAATCAATACGAAACTAACGATTTTAAATTGGTTCACCACTTGACTAGCCTATTGGTCCCAAGCAAATCCACTAACGTACCCCGTTCTAGTATAAATTCCAGTACTACACTATGTTTGTTTTGATTCGCTATGAAAGTTTGACAGATAAAATGAGGGGTTATTGGTTTTTCCTATGTTTCGAGGGGTGAATCGATTAGCTTGGGACCGAAGAGAGTACCAGAGCTGAGCCAAAAAGTTGAGCACGTTATTTCGGGGCCTTCTAGTCTTACACTGAAACAAGGATCATAGTTAGGAATACTATTTTGCAGAAAACACTTATTATCAATATAACCACGCTTATTACTGTTAAATCTACTATGAATTCAGTATAGTTGACTACGAATGTAAAACAATTTACTATGATTCTGGCGAAACTACTATGCTTGCTCAAAATGCATAGTAATTTTGATAGAAATAATAGTAAAATTAAATGAAATTGTTTTCTGCACAAATCTATTGGTAAGGGTATTTAATTTAAACCAGCAATATAGTATTTTTGCCAATAGATTTAGTATCAGTGTAGAGTTACCTCTATGTTAACAGTGCCAGTCTTCGAACTAACTTTATTTGTTAATAATTACGGGTTTCCAGTATTTTGACAGCTGGCACGGATCTTAATCGAACCCCACACGTTTCAATATATTGTTGCGAAGGGGAATTATTGACAATAATATTGATGATGTGAATACAGAAATATTGTCAATACCGATGTATTGACGTCAATATAGAATGTATTGACAATACAGGGGGTAAGTCACTCTGCCACCTTGTGCTAAACACATCAAAAACACCTTCGACACACTTAAACACCCTTTAATCACCATGAGAACAATTTTTCAATCTTTTTTGGCCGCACTGCCTAGAGCCAAGAATGTTTACATTCGTGTGATGCTCTTTTTTGTTTTTTTTGTATTTTTCTTAAGTAGAGATCACCCTCCAGCAATCGGTAGGATTCCACAGAAATCTTATCGGGACACGGACTCCTGATTTCGTCGAACGTCTGTCGGTATCAGGGTCGGTATGCGGAATTTCGAGCGGTGGACCGAGTTGTGACGATCTGGAACGGGAGGATTATGACGGTTCCGTGTTTGCAAGTCGGATGTGTTTGCAAGTCGGGACGTGAATGTGGTGGAGAAACGACTGTTGATGAAGTTTCTGCAGAGTTGCGCAAGTTGGGAAGGGGAAGGAGAAGGGAGCGAGCATCAGGCAGCGGAAGTCGAGGGAAAGACGTTCCTGGAGTATTTGAAGAAACAAAAGTTGACCCCGCATTGGGGAATGACCACACTAGCTGCCGGGGCGGGTTACAAGGGGTGAAGAAGTTTCTGCTTAGTTTGGGTCGGTACGGAAATAGTCCGTTTCTGTTTCCGATGTACGGATGCGGGGAGATTCCGCAGTGTTTCTGCCGGCTGTGCGCCGTTTTCGGAGGGATTTATTGTCTGGGTAAGCCGATCGTGGGTATTAATTTAAAGCGAGATGAAAGGGGCTATCAATCGTTAAAGTTCGGCAATCAAACGATAGAGGCCAAAGGGTTGGTCATAGGGCAGGGGTACGTTGAGTAAGAGGTTTTCGGAGAAAAGGAAGGCTCGAGGGAAGAGAAGCGAAAGGAGCACTGTGGACAGATGGCACGTGCTATATTTTTGACGAATGTTCCGTTGGGTGGTGCATCGCAGAATTCCGGTGGAGGTGGCGTGTCGCTGATGAAACTGTCCCCCGTGGAAAGGCACGAAGATGAGGCTACCATTATCCAGTTGGCACACTTTAGGGGCATTTGCCCAAAGGACATTTGTAAGTAATCAGGTCTGCCTAGGCGTGTTGACAATTTATTATTTATTTTGATTGTTTTCAAGATCTCATCCACGTGACGGCAAAATCCATCAGCGGTGACCCGAGGGCAGATTTGGAGCCCTACGTGTCGCAGATTCTCTCAAAAGATTATTTCATACCTCCGGAAGAGCTTGTGGAAGACAAGGAAGCACTGGAGAATAACGTATAAACAATCCTCTATGAATTGTACTTCAACATTCCAAAATGCGTCGCGTTCCAGCATCCGTCCAGCTCCCTGCCGGAAGGAATCCATCTGGCCTGCGGTCCGCTTTACGAGTTGGACTACGCTGAAAGCATAGCGCGAGCACGTTCGATCTTTAAGGATATCTACCCGGATGAGGAGTTCCTGCCGCGAGCTCCCGATCCGGAGGGTCTCTATTGCTGCAATGATGACTCCCGCAATTGGGGATGATGATTCAACGTCAAGCTCAACATTATAAAAGTAGACCATTTCAGCCTAATGAGCTAGATTATCCGTAACTATATGTAGAAATGAGCGGATTATAATCATCCAGTCAATGATTGACCGATGGCTGTAGAAAGATATTCCTTTCTATTTTGGTAGTCATTCCATATACGCACTACCAAATCAGAGAGATCCGGCCTACAGCCGGCGGTTAATTTTTGCAGGACGAGTCTAGGGGGCACGATAATGAAAGTTGATCGAATGGTTGCTGAGCAGATGTGGGCTATTTCATCGGATTATTCAGAATATGCTTTGTTCTTCCCGTTATGCCACTCAACAAGTTCATATATGGCTATGAAGACAGTTACGAAGAAAAAGCTGGTTATGCATACTTTGTGTGTATGCCAAAACTAGCGCTACTTGGGAAAAATCCATTCCCGTATTCGTGAACTACTATGAAATATGCACCTGTTCCCGTTCACTAAGTATATTAAGACATCAAACGACCAAATGCGTGCTTCGTGGGTGGCATAATTGAAATCCTCCCGATCATATTTGCATCGATCCTTGCTCCATGTATTCTTACGAGGAGGTCACCACTCGTTCCGACCCATTCCACCGGCAATGGGTTGTCGGCTGCAATATCCGATGTATTCTTTGACGGCCCGGTCATCCCTAATACAAATGTTATGGTTAATTTGCTTAACGACGTGTTCGTGGTATCATCCAAACCATTTGTGGAATAGTTCAATCATTTGGGTTATCGTTCGTGTAAGGTAATTTTTGATTAGGGATATCAAAGCAGGATCTAACGTCTCCAGGTAGTTAGCAGTCATCAAGACAATTCTCGCCTCCGTCGATGCCACTCCGTTCGTTTAACAAACCACTAAACGATTCAAACCCTCGAATGCTGCCTTTTGCACGCGATAATAAAGCGGCGTCTATGTGTACTAGTATGATCAATTGCTAAGGTGTCACGCCTATCACTTGATTCTGGCTGCAAACAAAGAAAATCTCAGTGACATTCACTCAACTTTTTGGCTCAGCTCTGGTACTCTCTTCGGTCCCAAGCTAATCGATTCACCCCTCGAAATATAGGAAAAACCAATAACCCCTCATTTTATCTGTCAAACTTTCATAGCAAATCAAAACAAACATTGAGTAGTATTAGAATTTCGACTAGAATAGGGTACGTTAATCGTTTACTTGGGACCAATAGGCTACTAAAGTGGTGAACCAATTTAAAATCGTTAGTTTCGTATTGATTGTAGGTATTTCCGCGTGCAAATCCAGTGTGTGTTGTTCTCTGACTTGGTCCACCATGATCCACGTTCATCCGTATCGCAGCACGTTCGGCAGGAGTAGTCTGAAAATTCAATACCAACATTTCAAAGGGTTGTAATTGCATTTGTAAACAATGTAAACAATACACAAATGAGTGCATTGGTTGACATAGAAAAAGTTTTTTTTATTATATATCTTTATTAAGGAGCCCAGGGCTGAAGGCTGGTTCGTCTCCGACTAGAAATATAGAAAATGATCTCAATTAATAACTATGGAAGAGTTTCAAAGAACACTGGCCCCAAACATCGTCAATATTATCAAATTCAGTCAGGCAAACTGGCTCGCACCTGCTCGGAAGTCATTCTGTAAAATGCGGCGAGGTAAAATGGACGGGTGGCGATAGCAATCCGAACCCCTGCGCGTAACTTTCTTCATCGATTTCTTCGCTCTTTCTGTCGCATACCGAAAATCGATCAACGCCGCGAAAGCTTTCGGTTTTCTTTTCCGAAACTTGCAACACTTTTTTCCCGTCATCGCGAACGATCCGGCATTTTACTTTTCTTCCTGCAAGTAAGTTTTTTTCCCTGGAGCTAGCGTGAGATTTTTCGTCTGAAAACAGCTAAGTTGACCTCATTCTTCAATCCTTTCCAGCTGCAGCAGCATCAAGTAGTGTTTGAAGACCAAACCGAGCGAGCTAAAATGGGTGTACAGGTTCAAACGCTTTCCGCCGGAGACGGTAAGTTTGAGTGGAATGTGGAATGGTGAAAAAATTGTGGCTCCTGCAGCGAAGCGGAAAGGCGAAGCAAAGGAATGACCTCCTTCCGCTTGTCATGCGAGTCGTGCTTAGGCGGAGACATTTTTCTCACTTAATATGGCGTGTCTTTTATTTCCGATTTCCGCAGAAGCAACTTACCCAAAGAAGGGCCAGGTTGCCGTCGTGCACTACACCGGCACGTTGGACAACGGAACCGTGTTCGATTCGTCCCGCACCCGTGGCAAGCCATTCCGGTTCACCGTTGGAAAGGGTGAGGTCATCCGCGGCTGGGATGAGGGCGTAGCTCAGGTGGGTTTCGGCATGTCTATTGATATTTATTTTTCTATTGCATGGGAATTTTACTGGTCCATTGACCTTGTCATTTTTTTTTGTTTCGAACGAGGGGTGAGTCACTAGGGAGTGGGTTGCTAAAATAAGACCACATTTTGATTCTTGTATATGGAAATGATGTTTACCCGAAATTTAACGTAATTTTTCAGATGTCGGTCGGACAGCGTGCCAAGCTGGTGTGCTCACCGGACTACGCCTACGGAAGCCGTGGTCATCCAGGAGTTATTCCACCAAATTCCACACTTACCTTTGATGTTGAACTGTTGAGGGTTGAATAAGCTGAGAAGGACGAGGAAGGGTCTTGTATCATCTAAAATAGCAAATAACAGCAATGAATACGAAACCGGCAACTTGATAACTCACTCAACAAAGAGAACAAAACAACCACAACACAAACCACAACATGAAAATAATGAAGCAATCCTAGAATCCGGGCCTGATAAGGAAGCTCTATGTAGTCCTTTAAATGTAGTGATGAGGGAATCAACGATCGATAATCAAACCGTAAGAAGGTCATCGTTATAAGTTACATACTCTCTCTCTCTCCCAGGTTTTCACTCCGACATTCAACAAAAGTAGGAACAGAACAAATCAGCAAACGATGCATTTAAACTGTAGCCAATCTACTTCCAATTTTATTGCGGCATGTGCAGTCGACAGTTTCTCCTTCTCGGAATTCCAACTTTCGAAAAACATATAAATTGTGTATTGTTCCAAGTTTTTTTTTTTTAGCAGAAAGTATCATCTCTCTTTGCTCACACTTTGAAAACGGAAGGAAAACTAGCAAAACCAAAACACTTTTACACGAGTTAGTAGTTATTGTACAACACACTTACTTCTATTGCTCCGGTAGCAGTTTCAAAACTCATACTCTATTTAAATATACAAAAAGTTCAAAATTTTAACTGAAAATCTGTTTGCTGTCTCTTATTAACAGTAATAATCAGCATGTTCCGAAAGAAAAGTAATTATTAATATCTAATCCAATCTGAGTCAGAATTACAAAAGCAAACATAGACAGCATTTAAAGGTAACAAGACTCCATTTGACGTTACGATTACAGAACAACAACAACAACAATACCTATCTGATTAATAATATGAGGTAAAGAAAGATCAATCGATTTGGGTTAGGTCAGTTAAGTCCGAAAATCCTTGCAGTGGTAGACTTCGTTTGTTTCTGATGTTCAGGCATAACGGCACAAAACCATTTGTAAACAAACTTTCTAAGGCCCTTTAAACGCGAACCAAAGTACGCCCACGCAAACCAATACAACTTTCGGAAAGGTGATAGTTGCCCCTATCTGATGATGTTGTTGGTTTGCGTGGTCGTACGTTGTAAAGGGCCTTAGAAGGTTTGTTTACAAATGAATGTGCCGTTATCAAATGTTATGCCTGATTTCCTTAGCATGGACCAGGAGGATTAGAAAGAGAAAAGCACAATCAACTCGCGCCAAACACGTCGAAATCTGATCGTCGACGCACAAGAAGGAAGCAGGAACCAAATCGTGAGGTCCACGAATATGGTATATGGGGTTGTTTTTAGTTCAAGTAATAACGAAGGTGGTCATTGGGCCAGCTCTTCAGGCCGAAAACTGCACGGCCGTAGAATTTACCTAAAATTTATTAAGAGCTTTGAGTGGGTTGGTTTATTTCCTTTAAATTCCGTTATAATTGCTTATCTTTTGACAGATACGCGTATTTCGTCTACTACTTGCAGACTTCATCAGTGCCAAGTACTCAACACCACTTGGCACTGATGAAGTCTGCAAGTAGTAGACGAAATACGCGTATCTGTCAAAAGATAAACAATTATAACGGAGTTTAAAGGAAATAAACCAACCCACTCAAAGCTCTTCATAAAGGGATTCCGTTAAGAGGTTCGACAAATTTAAAGGATTAAAATTTATTATTATTATTATTTATGGTAGATGTTGGCCAAATTAGGATTTTTGAAATAATCCTAATAAGACTGCTACGCCAAGTGATCAAAATTTCAAATTGAATCAACCAACAACATCATCGAGAAGGGGAAAGTTTCCCCTACCCGGTTGTGCAATATAATATCTAAGCAGGCCTTGATAACATGATAGTTAATAAATTCAGAATATACTGTGCTACCGAACAGATAACAAGTACTTTAACTGTTTGTTTGCATGAATTGGAATCAGAACATACCAAAATAACCACACCAGAAACTGCGAAATGTTTAAGAGTGCTGAAAATTAGACTTCCGTATCCTGAGCACTCAATCAACGCTGTGATTCCAGTAAGGCAACGGCAATTTCCCAAGATGCAGAACGTTCAAGTGAGGATTCCCGTTAATCAAGATGTCACTCCAATCGTTCAAAGAGCCCGTCGTCCTCCTATTGCATTACTCAGTCGGATTGAAGATAAATTGGATCAGCTTTTAGCTAGGTCGGTAAATGCTGGGTAATGCGCATTACAGATCCCATTGAGATCACTAGCCTCTTCCCAGCAACTGCTATCCCTACCTCCCCGTGGTACCGGCCTGGAACTGTGAGCAACCTTAGGGAAGATCGGGTAACCAACCCCGGTGGGAACTTTGGTCATAAGCTGACAGGGAAGGGGGGTTTGCTTCGGCAAGCCTGAGCGTCTGTTCTCCAGGAGGAGCGGCTCACAACAGCGTCTGTTCCCCATGTTAGGGGCGGCTGATATACGTCCGAGTGCCAGTGAAGGACTCCAAGCACAACTGTGCACCCTGGTCCTCCGGAAAGTTAGAGGGTTGGTGTCAGGCCCTGCGAGCCAGCCGTAAAAAAGGCATTGCAATGGAAAATTAGCAACATAGGCATACGAACCGAGACCAACGGCAACGACCCCAGCGACGAAATAGGACTTGCGATTGGAAACTCGGTACGTGGAACTGTCGATCTCTCAATTTCATCGGGAGCACCCGAATACTCGCCAATCTACTGAAGGACCGCAGATTCGGCATCGTAGCGCTGCAGGAGGTGTGTTGGACAGGATCCATGGTGCGAACGTTTAGAGGTAATCATACCATCTTCCAGAGTTGCGGCAACACAAGCGAGCTGGGCACAGCTTTCATCGTGATGGGCGAAATGCAGAAGCGCGTGATCGGTTGGTGGCCGATCGACGAAAGAATGTGCAGGTTGAGGATCAAGGGCCGATTCTTCAACTTTAGCATAATCAACGTGCACAGCCCTCACTCAGCTTATGAAATAATTAGATGCCATGATCAAATTTTGAATTGGTAGGATACAAGAAGAGGTTGCAAAGAATGTGTTTGACATATTAAACCTGTTTATTTCACTTCATGAGGGTCACAATCAGCGATTTTTCACAAACTCACTCATTCACTCAGCGATCAGCAAATCGCTGATTGTGACTCATAGAAAGCAAAATTTATAGGTTTATGTTTCCAACGCATACTTTGTAACCTCTTCTTGTAAGTTACAAGTAAAACATGCCATCATACCATCTTTTGGTTTTATTATTCCGAAAAACATTATTTTAGCTGAAATGAGTCTTTGCAACCTTGCATAGGAGACCTAAACGCTCAGGTAGGCCAGGAGGAGGAATTCAGACCGACGATTGGAAAGTTCAGCGCCCACCAGCTGAAGAACGTGGCCATACGTAGCACCTTTTTCCGTTACACCTGAAGATCCCCACAGCAGACGGAATCGCAAATCGACCACGTTCTGATTGATGGACGGCACTTCTCCGACATTGGGCCTCCCTTAGCTCAGCCGGTAAAGGCGCAGCTACAAAGCAAGACCATGCTGGAGGTGGCTGGGTTCGATTCCCGGTCCGGTCTAGGAATTTTTCGTGTTGGAAAATTTCTCGACTTCCCTGGGCAAGGAAGTATGATTGGACTTGCCATACAATTATACCAATGCAAAAATGGTACAGGCATCGAAAGCTCTCAATTAATAACTGTGGAAGTGCATCTAGAACACTAAGTTGAGAGCACGCAATAAGCTAATATGCGATATGCAATAAGCTTGAAATGCGAAGAAGAAGAAGAAGAAGAAGAAGAAGACTTCTCCGACATTATCGACGTCAGGACCAATTGGGAGATTGCCGTAAAAGCTCGACGCAGATGTCGCCACTGCATGATGATGATAATGTTGACAGACTGCATATAAAATTCGTGAAAATTAGCATTAAATCATAATTTTCATCAAGCCTGCGTAAAATCCTTCCAATATAACATTCGAATTGAAGAAGAAAATGTTTTCACGATCAGACTGATGTGCATCTTTGACTTTTCCAGATGAACTTTCATAAGATATATTCATTTCATTTCACAGCTCCATCAATGCTGCATCGTACATATGATGTTAACAGAAGTAAATTGCTCAATTACTCAAAATAAAGATGATTTGTCATCTTGTTATCACTTTATAAACCATCGAGCACCATTTTATAGTATTGTGCGTGTTGAGTAAATTAAGTTCCGTTGCGTTTTCCGTCGAAAATTGCGAGGGGGGCGACACATCTAAATCTCAAGTTTAGATGGTCAACAAATCTCACACTAGCGAATCAATCTTCGAACAATCTTCTTTCATTTGTCGCATCTACTTGCATCGCTCATCAATTTTTTGCAGGAAATCTTCAGAATCGTCATAAATCTTCTTTCTATCTACTCAGCGTTGGCGCAGCTAGCCACAGCAAAACACAATCTTTTTTGCATCGTAGATAGAGTCGTCCCCCTCGGAAAATTGTGAGTATCAATATGTTTCCTTAAAAAAGGCCAAAATGAACATTTATTGAATATTGGCGTCCTATACAACCAATTCTCTATTACCACCAGCATGATACCATAGAGGTAACTCTAAGACCACTGGGTCCCGAAGAAAATCATTATTATTATTGGCTCACTCAGTACCAGAACAACGGTCCCAAGCAGTCCCAAGCTATTTCACTCACCCCTGCATGTTCTGCATGAATCCACACACCCCTGATGTTATCTGTCAAACTTTCATAGCGAATCAAAACAAACATAGTGTAGTAATAGAATTTCAACTAGAATAGGGTACGTTAATCGTTTGCTTGGGACCAATAGGCTACTAAAGTGGTGAGCCAATTTAAAATCGTTAGTTTCGTATTGATTGTTGATGATACAACGTTTCCTAAGTAAATTCACTTAATTTCCACATTCATCTTAGTGAAAATCGCACATATTCACCGTTTTCCGAAAAATGCAGCTGCGCAGGAGGTAACCTCTCCCTGTGGGTGCAAACTTGTTATGCATAATTTGCCATGAAAACTTCTCCGATCCATACCGAAATAATAACAGTTAGTTTGCAAACACGTTTTCTTACACGATTCAAGCAAAAGTTTCCACCTGAAATTATTAGTTTTTCTTTATGGACCGATTTGCCCCAAAAATCGTCTGTTTTACTTAGAGAATTTGGAAACTATCCTCCTTCTAGTAGTTCTCCCTTCGAAATGTAGGTGGAGAAAGCTTGGAAAAGTTTCACTGCAAGACGCCAATCGTGGCGCTAACATCGACTCTGACCACTACCTAGTTTGAGAATAGGTTAAGATCATGTCGAACCTTAGGCCTCTATCATTCGCTTTACCAGATAAGAATAGAGTTCGAAACGTTACGAAACTTCGGAGGGAATCAGCTACTAGATGGTTCTATTGGTCTGTCGCCCCTATGCCCAATTCTGACATTCGATTTGCACGTCAGAACTGCTTCGATCCTCCATCAGGGTTTCCCCTGACTTCAACCTGATCAGGCATAGTTCACCATCTTTCGGGTCACATCCTGCACACTCACGGTATGTTGTGGCACGGTAGGGCCCCGGAGGGCCTCATCGCATGCCTGGTACAACACCCGGGGATTGAGGGACGCTGTAGAGAGCCACGCCCGTAATCCCGCACAGCTCAAG